AATAATTGGGAGATTTCATCTCAAATACCCATTTTTGGCTTTTTTTTCCCCCAGGAAATGAGATCTGGGCCCACCTTCCTGCATGCCACAGCCCCTGCCTGGCCCTGTCAGCCTGTGTGTTTGCCTCTCTTCATCACGGAACATAAGTAGGTGATGATGTTATAAATATTCCCCTCTTACTCTTGTGGGGTGTTCACTCTTCTCTTCCAACTAGTAGGAGCTCTGACCCAGCACTCAGAGCCTGGAAGGACACTTGGGGACATGCTTTGCCAGCCCTGAGACTTCCTGAAGAGACCAGGAGACATGACTCAGAGGAGAGACAGGGTGGGGATGCAGGGCTGGGGGCAGCTGAGATTCTAGCAAAGAGCCTTGGTTAGGAGCCAAGGTATGGATCACGCCCACCTCTCTTTCCCTAGTCCTTGTTTCTCTCCTGACCCTGGACACTTTCCCTTTGATATCCCCCAGGCTCCTGCTACCTACTGGGTCCCACACTGGCCTCAGTGTCTCTCTAAACTTATCCCTTTTCCTGGACCCCCTTCTCAGGTTTATCCACACTGTCACCCCATCCCTCCCTGGGCCTCAACAAGGTCACTTCTCTCCCTCCCCCGCCCCCCCCCTGGCCTGTCCACTTGATCCCCTGAGTGTCTCTCCCCCCTCCCTAGTCTGCCCACCTGGGTCCTTTCCCTCCCTCCCCCTGGGCTCCCATCCTCAGTCTCCCCTTCTAATGAACCCTCCACAAGGTGGCCAGGGGAATCTTCCTAAACCCAAACCTGACCCTGATCCTTCCCTGCTTAGAACCCTCCACGACTCTGCAGTGCCCCCCTGGGGCAGAGTCTGAGTGTTTCAGCCTGGTGTTCACAGGCCTCCATGACCCTGCCTACTCCTTCCTCACCATTATTGTGTTGTGGTCAGGCCCCCTTCACTTTTCCACCCACGATTTTTGGGGCATTTTTTGGCATCTGGGGGGCCGTCTTGTAAAACTCCCTCCTTGGTTCAAAACCCTCCCTTGGCTCCCCATTTCCCTCAGAGCAAAAGCCAAAGACCTGCCCACCCCCCACCTTTGCTCTCATCTCCTCACACTTTCTACATCACTCGCTCTGCTCCAGCCACACTGGCCTCCGTGCTGGCCCTTGAACACTCCGGACAAGGCTTTCACCTCTCCGCTGTTTCAAAGCTATTTCCTTTGTCAGATTTGCTGTTCCCTCACTTATCCTCATCGCTCTCTCCCTCACCTGGCCTCACTCCTGATCTCCCTACCTTCTCCTGTTTCGTTTTATTACCACTTATAGCATTTAACATCTCACGTCATTTTAGTATTATTTTGTTGTCTGGATTCCACGCCTCTCCCACCACCCTTAACGTGCCAGTCCTGGGTTCCCATCAAGCTTGGCCCCAACCCAAAATGACCTCCTCTCTCTCAGATTCAGTTTCCCCATCTACCACATTTCCCACGTCCTAGGATTATTGGGATACAGTGACTACGAGGATTAAAAGCTTTCCCGTACTTCAGATGCTCAGCAAATGCTGGACTCATGACCACTGCGAGAAATGGGGAAACGGAGAAAAGAGTCCTTCTTTGAGTCACACGGCTCGGGATCCCCATGTCTTACCGCACCACACCACTGCCTGAGTCACCACCATTCAACCTCAAAGCTATCCTGAACACACACCGGGAGGGTATCAAGGTGGCAGGAATCGCTCGATGCCTGACAGCGATAGTCAGATGGGCTGCGGGGAGAAGTCGCGTAGTCCGCCTTATCGCGATAATGCTGTCTATAGGGACTCCCACACCCTGATCAGTCCGATGCTCCCCTACAGGCCCCCGACCTCGGGGTCCTCACCTGATTTCTCCACTTTCACCTTCACCGGGAACATGGTTGGGGTCTGGGGTCTGGCTAGCTGGGTCAGAGAAGCCCAAAAGAGCCTACGGTCACAAGTCAAGGCCAGAGGCAGACGGGGAGAAGTCAAAGGTAAGCTTCGTGTGTGGGCAGTCCTCCGCCCTGAGCAGTGTCCGGCCGCGACGGCCGCGGAAGCCGCTACCTCCGCCAGTTCACCTTCTGTGGGCGGGCCCTTCGGCAGTCCCTTGTTTCCATTAGTCAATGCAACCGTCAATCTCGTACCCTGGCCAATTCACAGCTGCCGCTGTCGGTTCCCAGCTCTAAGTCCCACCTTTCTGGGGTGGGGGTGGTCCAGGTTTCCGGAAACAAACCAACAATATCCCAGGGCGCTTCCTGGGAGGTGTAGTTCTAGCTCCCGAGACTCAGCCGAAGTAAGGGCGCCTGCGCCGCGCGAGGCACGGTGGGAGACCAAGGATCAGAGCGTCGCGAGGCTGCTTGGCACTTATAGTATTAGAAGATTTGAGTAACACAAATTTGGCTATTTAACAGGAGTTATTTAACCGTGGGAGTCTCTCTTGGTCCCTAAGAGGAAAACAATTCTGGGGCTAGGCTGGGTTCCCTCTTAACTAAGCACTCACTAGGTGCCAGCTACCTGTTAAACTCTTTTAACGTGCAGCCTCGTTCACTTAGCAAATATTAAGTACCTGAGCCAGGTACTCTAGGTACTGGGGACACCGCAGTGAACAAAATGGACAAAAATCCTTGCCCTAATGAGCTTATATTTTAGAGGATGGAAGACGAACAATAAACAAGTAGAATATTTTAAATGAAATGTAAGAGGAGAAAGGATATAGCCTGAAAGAGACATAGGGAGTGTGGTGGCTCGAGCGCGGGTTGGAAAAGAATTTCCAGGCACAAGGCAGAATGTAAGGAAGATAGAGTTTATTAAAGAGAAGGGTCGCTGCAAGAACAGCGGGCCAACTTCCTGGTAGCCAGGGAAAGTCAACCCCCCGTGTGGGCTGGCAGCCAACTTTTATAGCCTCAAGACAAAGAAAAATCCTGCGAGCAGGATGGCATTAGGTGATTGGTCAGGAAGCTACAAGGTTACTACATGGTGAATATTTTACCTAATATGGAGTCGGGGTGGGGGGCTGTCCGGTTTAGATTAGGAGAGGCCATGGCAACAGTTGCTATGGGGGCTCGGTTAATTCCAGAGTTTTTGTCCTGTGTCCTTGATGTAGGGTGTCCTTGATGTAGGGCTCCACAGGGGGTGCCAAGGTGGGGACTGAAATTTTAAATAGGAGGATCAAGGAAACCTCCTCTAATAAATCTCTTGAATACATGTCTATTGCTGCAGACAATCTCCTTCAGAAAATGAGGAACTTCCATTTACCACATGTGCCTTGGCATAGATAAATTCTAGGGGGTAGCATTGTGATCCACACTTCCGATAAGAATAATGAGGGCGAAGTAATGTTTTCAAATTCACATACTACCTGTACAGGATGACAGTCCCTAGTAATGGAAGTATTATTCCTTCCTTGGTTCCAGATCTGTACAATAGGGTTCCCAAGCAAGAAAGTTCCTATTTTTGAAGGGTTATGAGTAGTATACAGTGAACTAATGCGCATCATGTATGAAGCACTAAGCCTAGCACAAAGTAAGCAATCAATAAATGTTTCTGAATATTAATAATCATTTTAAGTTTCAACCTCCAAAAGATCCCAGGAAGTCAATATTGAGAATTAGGGTCCTTTATTAGGGGATGTCAGCAGAGAACACAGGAGATAGGAACAAGTCTTAGGGGCTTGAGAGTGGGCTTGGAGAAGAGGAGCCCATCCTGGTCCTCAGGCCTGTGCAGAAGTTGTCAGGGGGTACCCAGGGGTATGGTGAAGGAGAGGTAGTCCCCAAGGGCGCCCCAACGTGGCCGGTAGATCTGGAAGATAGTGATCCAAGTGGTGAGTACAATCACCCAGAAGAGGAAGCCCACAGCTGAGCGCCAGACATCTGTAAGAGGGAACAGGAGGGGAAAGGTTGGCCACCACCTGCTCTCTGGTCTCCCCGAGACCGGCCCTCTCTTCTCTTCCACAGAGTCCCAGAATTCTGGAACCTCCATTGTCCCTTCCCACCAAGGCTCCCAGAGACCCCCTCCCCACACCCGATGGCCTCCCTTCATCTGTGCCCTGGACTCACAGCCTTTGATTTGGCTCTGTTCTGTGTATGCCGGGACAAGGAAGGCCTCTCGGAAGAACCAGAAGATGTTGACCAACCAGAGAAAAGGCAGGAAAGCAAACCCACCTAAAGAGAAGAAAATAAACTGGGACTTAAGGCAATGAGGATCCTCCCAACACCCACGTAGCTGACCAATTTGGAAGGTCCTCTCCCATACCCAAATTCAAATGGAGATCTCTGCTATCAGGGATTCAAGAATCCTGACTCCTCCCCGGGATCCAGGAATCTGAGTCCTCAACCATCTTTTTGGCAGGACCAGGAGACCAGGCCCCCAACTCCCCTCCTCTCTTGGGACCCAGAAATTGAGGCCCCAGTCTCCTCCTTCCTCAGGACCCAGGCCCTTCCTCTCTTGGGACCCAGGAGTCGGCGTCCCCAGCCACTTCATCCTCTAGACCCAAGAATCCAGGCCCCCAGGCGCTCTAGTCCCGTCCCCTCTCTTCTCCGGGGACCCTAAGATATCAGCCCTTACCCAGGTAGTACTTCCGGCACAGGTTCAACTTCTCCTCGTTGGACACCCGCTCCAAGTTCATAGTTGCGCTGGGGCCGGGTCTTCCGAGGGTCTTCAGGGCAAGACCCAAGCCCTGACCCTAAGTGACAGATGCAAGGATCACAAACAACCACGCCCCTATTACGACAAAAGGGAGAGAAATTGAAGGGTGGGTTTTCTGAAAGAAGGGTACCCCCGCCCCCACCAGCAAGCTGACTGGGTTGAGACGCTCTTTATGTTTATTGGGGTACGGAGACGACCCCTAACTCACCAGTGGAGTCTTACTTCCTCCTGTTTGGACCCCTTTGCCACTTTCAACTACGGACTTTTGCGCGAGATGCCGCAAGCGTCTCTGGACCTTGTAGTCTTTTTGGTCAGGCAACGCTGCACGCATGCGCTTTCAGGAAACTCCAGTGGGTGAGTCCGCGGGGAGGGTGAGAGCCTCCGTCACGCAAGCGCACTAGGGAGTTTCTGAGTGTCCGGAGGCCGCGAAGAACTACATTTCCCAATGCCCTTAAGCAACGGAAGTGACGTAATAGCAGACATAGTTGGAGGGTTCGGGTAAAAATGGCCGAATATTTAGCTTCGATATTCGGGACTGAGAAGGACAAGTGAGAACGGGCGCAGGGAGTGGCCCCTCGGGAGCCCGAGGACGAGGCACTTGGTTCCCTGGTGGCTGGGCGGCGTGGGGCGGTGTTTCTGGGGTGTCCGGCTCCCCGGCCCTCGGTTCACCTCTGTCTCTGCACCTCTTCCAGGGTTAACTGCTCTTTTTACTTTAAGATCGGGGCCTGCCGGCACGGGGACCGGTGCTCCCGGCTTCACAACAAACCGACTTTCAGCCAGGTGAGACCCGGCACGGAGCCTGGGGGGTTAACTTCCTGTCCATTCCCTTTCTGTTGTCCACCATCACGAGGTCCTGCCTTTTCCGGATTTCTAGGGCCCACCCTACCGCCCGGCGTTTTTCTTGTCGGAGCTCTGCAGGTTCCTCTCCCAACCTTCAGGCCCTTCTCCCAGGAACTTGGCCACGCCCCCGTACGTAAAGACCACACCCCTGGGCTGTCCCTCACTGCTAGGTATCCCCTCTTCTGGTTTTCTGAGGGACAGGCGTTGCTGTTGCACTCAAGATGCTTATGCTTTTTCTCTGGTGCAAGGTCTCACACCCAACCTTCATACCCAATCCCTCTGCATATAGTCCCGCCTTCTGAGCTCAGGCCCCGCCCCCTTTAAATTCTGTTCAGACCATAGTGCTGCTCAACCTGTACCGGAATCCACAGAACACCGCCCAAACCGCAGACGGATCGCACTGTGAGTGAGGGACCTGTCTTGGGGGCAGGGCGGACAGGTCCCAGCAGGCCACGCCCTGATTCCACCCTGCCCCCCTCCACCAGGTCACGTGAGCGACGTGGAGGTGCAAGAACACTATGATAACTTCTTCGAGGTGAGGGTTGGCAGGGGTGGGTTCAGTTTCCTGTGGGCCAGCAGCGCAGCTGAGTTCCTCGTGGTCTTCCACAGGAAGTGTTCACGGAACTGCAGGAGAAGTACGGGGAGATTGAAGAGATGAATGTGTGCGACAACCTGGGGGATCACCTCGTGGGCAATGTTTATGTCAAGGTGCCTGCTGTCTCCCCATTAGAGCCTAGAGGTGGAGGCATTTCAATGCCTAACGGCCACCGCTGAAGCCTCACAGCTTGAGGTCCTTCACTAAATCCAGTCCAGACCCTGAGCTGCTAGCTAATCCCCTGATTTCTGAGTTTGATTGCTGACCCTGACCGACTTTCCCTCAGTTTCGGCGCGAGGAGGATGCAGAGCGGGCAGTCGCTGAACTCAATAACCGCTGGTTCAACGGGCAGGCTGTGCATGCCGAGCTGTCTCCCGTCACTGACTTCCGGGAGTCGTGCTGTCGGCAGTATGAGATGGGGTATGGTAGTGCAGGGGTGGGATGGGCACTTGGAGTCCCAGGCTTCTGTGTATGAGTTGAGGGGGCTGTCAGTGACAATGGCCTCATCCGTCCATCCATGCTTTACCCAGGGAATGTACCCGGGGTGGTTTCTGCAACTTCATGCACCTGCGACCTATCTCCCGCAACCTCCGGCGGCAGCTCTATGGGCGGGGACCCAGGCGCAGGTACCTCAGGACCAGCCTGCCAAGACTTCTCGTATCCCAAGGCCCCTGTATCCTGAAATGAATCTGATCCTGTGCCCCAATAAGTGTCTCAAGCCTTTTGTGCCCTAAAACTAGCCCTGAGCCCCATCTGAAGACGAGCACCTAAGTCCCAACCCCCAAACCAGCCTGAACCCCAAACCCAAGTCCATCCTGGATCTCTAATCCTGAGGTCAGCCCCTGTGCACCTATCCTGAGGCCACCCCCAGGAACTCTACTTACTTCATCAAGTGCCATGCCTTATCCCAGAGCAGAGAGGCAGAACTGGGGGATCTGCACACCATCCCCATGGCTCTGATCCTCCTCTCTCCTGTCCCCAGGTCACCCCCAAGGTCCCATACTGGCCACCGTCCCCGAGAAAGAAATCGACGACGGTCCCCAGACCACCGGCATGGCCATTTCTGAGATGCTGACCTTGCCCTCCACCCCTGGCAGGCACATATGTTCCTGGCCAGGACCCCTCCTCAAAGCCCCCTTAACTCCCTAGTGCCATCTTTTCCATGCTCCGGGTCTCCATGATGTAATACCTTCAACACAGGGACCTTCTATCGCCCCGCCCCTAATAAAGTTCTATATTGAGGGTTTAGAGCTTCGTTGTTAGCTTGAGCCTGGCTGTGGGCTGGTTTCCTTCCACCCCCACATCTGCTGATGAAAAGGGGAAGTAGGGCTGGGCTCTGGCCACAACCTCAGCCAAGAAACTTACAACAACAGGTGGGAAAGCAGCATGCCCAGGGTCCTAGAAACCCCCAAGTGGGACTGGTTGGGTGGGGCTGCCTTTGTGCTGAAACTTCAGCACGTCCATCAGAGGATTCTCAAGGGGGAGATGCTTGGTTGTGGCAGGTCAGAGGATTCCCAGTCTGGAGGAGATTGGGGTTAGGAGCTAAGGTAAGATTGCTGGGAGTTGGGTGGGAGTCTCCAGTGGGTGATGGCTGGGTCCTCCATGCCCACTGCCCTGAGATGGGAATAGGTAGTACCTAATACTTAAGCTTACACTGTGCCAGGTGCCAGGTGTTCTAAATGCTTTACTTCCAGTAATGGTTTTACTTCTCCACAATAACCTTCTAAGACAGGTACTATTATACCATTTTACAGATGGGAAAAGAGAGGGCAAGATGGCAGAGGTGGGATATAAATCCACGCAGTCCGGCTCCAGAGTCCTCGCTGTAGCCATCTTGAGGCCTTGTGGCTGCTCTGATAACGGGCCAGGAGCTGGTCTGGGGCTGGAGAGTAGATTCCTGGCTTCCAAAGGGGACTGGGGATCCTATGCCCCCACATCCACTGCTTCCTTCTTCTGCCCCGGTTTCCTGGCAAGTGCGGCAGAGGTGCTGTGGCAGGAAGTCCTGTGGTCATGGCCCCCCAGAAGGCAGGCTCCGCCAGGATGGGGCCCCTATGCCTCCTCCTGACTGCCGTGCTGCTCCTGGCCCAGGCGGCGCCGAGGAAGGCCTCTCAGCACTGCAGCCGGAGTACCGGAACCCTGAGGACCTGTGCTGTGGCAGCTGCTTGCAGCGCTTCGGGCCGCCCCCTGCTCGGGTAAGGAGCCGGGACTGGGCGTTTGCATATGTTCAGGCGGAGTTAAGGGGTGATAGGGAAGGGGGAAGGGGCGAGGTCTGTGGGGTATGGCCCGTGAGGCTTGCTTCGGGGTGGGGGCGGTGGGCCGTACGTAGACAAAGTGGGGATGGGGGGCTGAGCCTGCGAAGAAAGGGACAGTGTGAGTTAAGACGGTCATGGTTAAGGGGTGTGGCCGGTTAGACAGGCGGGAACCGAGAGGCGAGGAAGAGGCGGGCGGGGGAATGAAAGGGGCGGGGCCTATGTAGAGAAGGTTGGGAGACTGGCAGGGCTAGTGTGCGGGGGGGGCGGTGAGGGGGGGATAGAGAGATGGGCACGTCCGCTGATAGGTTGGGTGAGTACAGTGCAAGGGGCGGGGACTTCTGGGATAGGACAAAGGGGAAAGCACGTAGCTAGCGCAGAGGAGGCAGGTTTGGCGGTTGCGCGTGAGACGCTGTGTCCCACCAGACTGAATTTTCGGGAAACTGCGGGCCCGATGATGCGGGCAATCACGTAACGCACCCCTTCAAAGAGTGTCCTCCTGGGCAGTGCAACCCCAACAGCGAGGAGCTATGTAGCCCTTGTGGCGGCGGAGCAACGGCCCCCACTTCCTTGGGGAGCCGCGGCGGGACCCGGAGGCGCGGCAGACAGGTGCTGGTTGGGCTCCGGAGAGCCTGGGCAAGGTGCAGCCCGCCAGAGTGGGGCGGGGGCGGGGAGCGTGGCTTGGGGTCGGATGGGTGGCGTCTGTATCAAGGGAAGGGAGGGTGTAACCTAACTGAAGAGGACAGGGATGGGGGCACAGTATTGATGGTATCAGGGGTTAAAGGAGTTGGGGTGGGGGGGTGGGAGGGCAGGATCAGGCGGAGATGTGGTCCCACTGAGGGATTTAAGGATGGGAAGTTTGTGCTGAGGAGGCAGGAGTAGGGCATTGCTTCCCACTTTATTTCCAGAAGCCGGTCCCTAACAAGGAGCCCTGCCCCCTGACACGTGGAAAGCTGAGCGTCCTTAGTTCCCAGGAGCCCAGCTTACCGGCGATTTCCAGTCTCCTGTGGACATCTGAGCACAAAGTCCCTCAGCAGGCCTGGCCGAGTTGGAGTTTTGACCTGTCCCTGGTGCTGGTTCTGCTCATGACCTCAGCAGAAATTCTCCTGCTCGCCCTGCAAAGGCACCGCCGTCGCCACCACCAGGGGAAAGCTGTCCAACACCCCTATCCTGGCTTGGTTTGCAACGACCTCAACACCCACACCCTATTCTCCTTGCACTTGTCCCCTCCAGGCTCCCTGGAGGCTTCAGAGGCAGGGGACTCAGGGAAGGAGGTCCACTCTCCCTCCACTCCTAGGCAGGGGTTAGTTGAGGATACACCAAGGAGGGGGGGAGGTGGGCTGGAAGCTTGCGCTTCCTCCCCTTCACCCCTCCCTTTGTCTCCCAGAGCTGCCAAGTCTGAAATCACAGCCGCCGTCTCGCCTCCTGGATGAGCTGGAAGTGCTGGAGGAGCTGATCGTGCTGCTGGATCCTGAGCCTGGGCCAGGTTGGGGGAGAGCCTGTGGCAGCACTCGACACCTGGCTGCAAAATATGGACTGCCTGCTGCCTGGTCCACTTCCGCCTACTCCCTGCAGCCCAGTCGCTGGCCTCGGTGGGCCCTGATGGAGATGGTGGTGGCAAGGGAGCCCTCTGCCTCTCTGGGCCAGATTGGCGCACACCTGCCCAGAGAGGGCGGGCAGATGCACTGCAGGTGCTGTCCAAGCTTGGCTGAGCTGGGGCCTGCCCAGCCTAGTACCCGATAAAAATAAAGTTTCCGTTGAAGTAAGTGCCTGCTGTCTCTGGGCCTCATCACGGGTCCTCTTAAAATAGTCTTAATTGGGCCAAAACCCAGCAGACATCCTCTCACTCCCCTCCCCATTCAGGGAATGGGCCAATCCCACCACACACACAAGACCAGATGTGGGTTACCTCTGGGCAACCAGGGTCCCCTCTGAGAAATGGCCCTGCTACCCTTGGGAGGGTTCATCTATAGGGACCCATCTGAGTTCTAACTTGGAATAGGTGTTACATTTATGCTCTGAGCCTTAACAGACCCCCACAGTTTACTTCTAATTCTGAACGATGCCCTCTCGCCTCCCCTGGCTCAGGATGAGTGTGGGGCGCAGAGGAACAGAAGCTCCTACCTGCCCCCAGCACCATACAAATGGAAGACCACCATTCCAAACATTGACAGACTTTATTGTGGGGGGTTCCCACCTGGGATCCCACCCTCTTAAATAAAAAAGTGCATAGAAAAGAAGGGATTTAGAAACTTTTGTACAATATCTACATCCTGGGCCCCCAGGGAAAGAAGGGGGCGATTGCTGGGTGGGCTGGAGGGGTGGAGGCAGGGCCCTTGCCACCTGCATGCCCACATCCACCCTGAACACGAGGGTGGGGTGAGATGCTCTGGGAGGGACGAGGGGCAAGATGGCAGCGGGGGGCGTGGCAGGCAGCCACAGCTTCAGTTAAGGAACCGACGGCAGCGCTTGGCGCCACAGTTGCAGGGCAGCTTGTTGCTGGCATCCTCAATGGGAAACTTGTAGTCATAGGTGAGCTCCTCGCCACGCAGGATGCGGCGCAGGGCAAAGATGACGATGTGCTTCTGGCCCTCCACGTGGATGACTCGAGAGAAGCAATTGGGCTCACACGAGTGGTTGATGAAGCGGGCGGCATTGCCATGCATGGTGGCATCCACCACATCAAAGTCATCCATGCGGAACATGTAGCACCCAATGCCCTACAGGGATAGGGTGGGGCAGTCAGGGGCTCTGTTCCCGTGGACCACACTGTTTCACCCGTCTCATTCCCATGGCCTGGCAGAGCCTACCTTCCCATCATAGAACTTCTCCCGCTTGTCAGTCAGCACAGAGCGAATGACAATACCAGAGTACTCAATGACCATCTCGCCAGCATCGATGTTGCGTTTACAGAACAGGCCCCGCCCGTGGATGGCAGATCTGCAGGGTTGCATGGGCAAGGGGGAGGTCAGGGGGCAGGGGGACAGAACCAAGGTAGTCCCACACTAGGGCACCTGTCCATCCACCCAAGGGGCATCCTCCCCCCAACCCCACTGACCTGTAGACACCCACAGCCTCTTTGGATGTCTTCTTGAGGTGGCGAAAGCGCATGGCCATAGGCAGCTCCAGACTGGTGGCGCGTCTGGTGGGGGACGGCAGCGTCACACAGGTTGGTACCCAGGAATGACCTCTCTTGCCCCGATCACCCTCTTTTGGACCTTTCCAGACCATCCCCAGTACCCTGGCCTGCCCTCCATACCTGGTTGACCTGAGCTGCACCTCATCCTCTTCCTCGTCACAGGTGGCTCCCTCAGGGAGCACCCGGTGCTGGGAGGCCAGGAAGTTGAACATGTCAAAGGTGCACTTCCTGCAGGTGGGAGGGAGGAAAGGAAGGAGGTTCATAGCCATTCTTTCAAGAAGATGCTACCCATATATTCTTTGGCCTGGGCCTGCTGCTGGTAGGGTAGGAGCAATACTGCTACTACTGAAGACACAGCAAACGGGGAACAGATGAGGTTCATTCTTCTGATGTGAACTCTAGGAATAACTTCTGGAGTGGCCTAGTATCTTCTCCTCAGACCTCAGTTTCTAATCTGTAAAGACTTAATTCCCACCCTTGAGAACTCCTACAGGGCTACCCCGACTCAGGTATCACACCCCAGACCTCTCACCGGAGATAGACCTCAGCGCGGGCTGCCCCATGGGGATTCAGGGGTGGCTCCTCCTGGCCCTCTCCCTGCTGGTGGTAGCGGAATTTATAGTGCTGGCAGCGCTGAGCTCCGGGCAGTTGCTCTGCCAGGAAGATGACAGCATCGTGGTGGATGCCCAGGAGCCTCGCCCCACTCATTCCTGGGGAGAGTCAAAAGTGAGGACACGTAAGTCACGTCAGAGGCCCATCCTGCCAACAGGGAGTCATCCCGGCCCCCAGCATCCCTGTGAAACCCCTCAGTTACCACTAAAGGAGAGATGTCTGAGCCGGGCATGCCCTCGGGCCTCTTGCACCTTCTCAATCAGAATTCTCCATGCCCCTGGGGAGAGGGCAGGGCCAGAGCTGTCAGGATGGTGTTCTATGGGACACCTTCCCTCCCTGTCAATGCTACTCCCAAACTCACCCTCCAAGCTCTCGGCCTCCACGCTGAACCCATCCTCACTGCTGATCTCGAAACGCAGGTGTGGGCCAGCCCGTTTAGGGGCCTGGTTCTCTTTGTCCTCTGGGGATGGAGGCTCTTCCTCAGAGCTTGAAGCCTCACCTGGTCCCAAGGAGCAGATCAGAGTTGGTGAGGATCACCCCTCCTGGTTCCCCTCTGCCCTTCCTTCCTGCCCGCGTATAAGCACAGTTGCTGGGTCTGAGGGCCTTCCTCCTGCAATATTTGCCCAGTGAACCCTATAGAATGGACATTATTTTTTCTAAAGGGCCTACAGTCTCTTTACTGCAGGACATGCTTACGGCTCACTCAAACTCAGTCTACCGTAAATGCCAATCTATTCCTCATTTTTCTGCATCTCACACAAAATTTAAAATACTGGAGAACTACTATATTTTGCACATGTATTTTTCTTATGTGTACCACGTTGCTGTAAAGATTACCAATATATTATTATAAAGGCCCATACTCACAGAATGAAGTATACGTACACTATGATGGATTTCTCAGGGGCTAAAAATTTTAAAGCTAGAACAGATAGGACTAGCTGACACAGGTGAGGTGGATGTGAGAGAAAAGGGGGGGGGTCAAGGACAATTCTTGAGGTGCGGATCCTGAAGAACTGGAAGGATAAAATGGGCACTGAGTGAGATGGTGAAGGTGAGGGAGAAACGAGTTTGGGGTCAAGGTCAAGAACTCAGTTTGGAACGTGTTGAGCCTGAGATTCCTCTTAGAAAACCTCCCCTTTCAACTTGCTTGTGGAGATGGCGAACAGGCAGCAGGATATAAGAGCCTGGCTAGTGATTTGGGGGCTATCAGAATTAGAGATGGGGTTTAGAGTCAGGAAGTTAGACAAGAGCACTCGGGAGTGAGTGGAGATTAGAGAAGTCAAGGCCAGAGCCTGGGACACACCAAAGCTGACAGGCTGGGGCAGTGAGGAGGCACAGCCAGAGGTGAGGAGAGGGCTGGGGTGCTGGAAGCCAGGAAAGGAAATGCTTCAAGGAGGGAGGGATCAGCACACCAAATGCTGCTACTGGCTCAAGCAGGATGTGGACTGAGGCCTGACCATTGTACCTGGGTTGAGTGGGGTGGGGGGCATACGTTTGAGTGGAGCATACTTTAGGAGGGGCAGGAGTCACATGGCCACACTTTCTCTCCACAGAACTGCTCTGGGCCAACCTGCCTATATGCCCTTCCAGCCCTAAGCAAGACTCTAAACCTAACTCTTGCTGTGTGTCCCACATCATCCTTGGGCCTCGCAATGCCCTAGGGTCCACCTCTGACTTCTGCCACCTTTCCCCATCCTCACTTCCATTCTGTTCCCTGAGCACAACCACAGAGGCCTCGCCTGGGCACACTCTCACTTTCTTCTTTCTCATGGTGCTCATCCTAAGCTAGAATGCGCTTGTCAATTATGCATCTGTTTCCTCTAGCAAAATGTGGTCTGGTCCCTATGGGCAGGGACCTGTCTGTCATGGTCACTGCCATATCCTCATGCCATCTCCGACCCCTGTAAGTAGCCTTTCAGTAAAACAGTCTCAGTCTACTTCATTCCATTTCCATACTCAGCAGCTTAACTCTACATAATGAGAAAATCCACACATCAGGACAGGACTTGGGGCCACAAGGAATTCCGAGCCTCAGTCTGCTCAATTATCAGCTTACTTGGCTGTAGCCTACTCCCTCTCCCACTGCCCTCCATGACCAACAGAGCACTGCCCTTCCAGCTTCACTGAGTCCATCAGCCAGAACTGCTCCACGTGCCCCCATCCTGCATACTGATGTCTCGTATCTCTCCAAGTACAGGCATAACTCGGAGATACTGCAGGTTCAATTCCAGACCACGGCAACAGAGCGAATATTGCAATAAAGTGAGTCGCACAAATCTTTTAGTTTCCCAGTGCATATACAAGTTATGTTTATACTATACTATAGTCTAGTAAGTGTGCAACAGCATTATGTCTAAAAAAACAATGTACATACCTTAATTAAAAAATACTTTACTGCTAAAAAAATGCTAAACATCGTGAGCCTTCAGGGAGTTGTAATCTTTTTGCGAGAGTAACAGCAAAGATCACTGATCACAGATCGCCGTAACAAATAATGAAACAGTTTGAAGTATTAAGAAAATTACCAAAGTGTGACACAGAGACACAAAGTGAGCAAATACTGCTGGAAACATGACGCTGATAGACTTGCTCCATGCAGGGTTTCCAAAAACCTTCCATTTGTAAAAAACGTGACAAAGCAAAGGGCAATAAAACGAGGTATGCCTGTACACCTTCCTCACGTCCTTCCCTCCACCTCAGGGGTCTCTTATGCAAACCTGACCACTATGTCTCCTCCCACCTCCTTTTCCATCCACGAGTCCCCTTCACCCTCATCCTTGCTTTTGCTGTCACAGCCCTCACACCAAACCCCTCTGAGCTGCTCCCCCCAACCCCCAACCCCCACCCCAGACTCTTAACTGAACTTTTTGGCAAGGTGCCCGGCTGCTGTCCTGGCTTCCTCGGCAAACACTGTCTTCGGTTCTGGACTCTGACACAACATCCTCCCTACCCTGTGCCATCTGCCCAGACAGTACACCAACCCTAGACCCCACATGCCTGGTGTTCTCTGTGGCAGTTGGGACTGCTGACCACTCCCTTCCCTAAGCCTCTGGGACACCACCCTCCTCTGATCTCCTTCCCACTGTTCTTGTCTTTCCTCTGGGTCCTAGGTGGGCTCCATCCTCTGTGGATGATCCCCAGAACTTCATCTCTGGCTTTACTAGGTACCTAACCTCTGACCCTGGTGCACTAGCTCCTGAAGCCCTTCCTTGGGCTCTTGGGCACACTGAACAGGCATGTGTCTGTTTCTGACACAGGCCATAAGCTCCCAAGGGTGTCTCTGTAACTCTAACATCCAGCCCAGGCTCGTACCCAGGTAGGTGTGCAATGTGCAACACCCAGTGCGTTGTGTATGTTTTTTTTAAGTGGACCAGTTCTGTATCTGTGAGTTACTCAGCTGAGACAAGCGCCAGGAAGGACGCAGTGAGAGGAAAAGGCTGGCCCCTACCTGAGTAGTGGTGCCACTGGGACTCAAGCAGCAGGTCAGAGGGACCATCGGGGGCCCGGGGAGGACCACCTTCTGGAAGTGGCAGCAGAGGGGACCGGTCCTGGAGGGGCCTGTGAGGAGAGACCTGTCAGAAGGAGGAAGCGGCAGAGGTTCCAGAGCCTCCAGGGAAAGGAGGCTGGCCACTCACCTCGGGCTTTCCCCCCAGGTGGGCTCCCCAGGTTCATCCAGGTCGAGAACTCCACGCACAGTGGGCGTTTTCATCCTCACTCGGCTAAACCTGGTGCGGAGTGGACGGTGAGAAGGCTGAGCTGCCTTCTCCTGCCCACCCTTCTCCCACTCCGCAGCCTGGGCACACTCACTCACCCGCTGCCACAAAGCCCTGGACCCTGCTGGGGGTCCTCCGAGGACTCTCCATCTTCCTCCAGCCGGGGAGTTTTGCTTGGGGGAGGTGCTGGTGGGGAACGGCCAGAGAAGGTGGACACCCTTTTGACACGGATGGCCTGGCGGGGTGGGCTGGGGGGCCCACTGCTCAACACCAGCGTCAGTGGAGGGGGTGGTGGGGGAGGGGCAGGGCGGACCACCCCTACTACTGGCAACACACCCAGCAGGGGTCCTGGGGGCAGAGTCCAGGAAGCAGGGGCCGTGGGGGGGATGGGAGGGGGCAGAGGTGGTTGCTTCACTGGGGGTGAGACAGGTTCACCCTCCCCTGCCATCTTTACGAACACCTGCCCCAGCTTGTTGACCAGGATGATCTTGGATGTGGCAGGTTTGGGGGGCTCGGGGGCAGGGCCCAGGCTCAATACCCGGACCCCTGGGGCCCCAGGGAGCCAGGCAAACGTCCGGGTGGGGTCAGCTGGGCTAGGGGGCAGGCCCTGAGGGGGCTGGCTGCCATTGGCCAAGGGAGGTGCTGGGGGGAGTGGCTCCTCTCTAGGCCCAGCGCCCCCCTCCCCAGGCCCCCCTAAGTTCTTCAACACGAAATCCACAATTTCTGACGGCAAGTCCTCGGGAGGTCGAGCCCTGTCCCCTGCAGCCCCGATGACCCCAGCCCGGCCTGCTCCTGGCCCTGAAGGTGGAGTCCCCTGGCCCCGAGGCTGCTGGACTGCCTCGGCCTCACTGTCGGTACCATCATCCACTCCGTCCAGCTGTTCAATGCGGGGGGCTCCAGGGAGGGCTCCAGGGGCCAGGGCAGGGCCAGACACCACAGTCACAGGGAAGTGGACGTAGCGGGGGGGTGGGGCTGGCCTCCTCCTCCGAGCTGTCCCCTGGGCCCCCGTGGCTGCTCCCCACCGCCCCTGCGGCCACAATCTCTTCCTGGAAGGGCTCAGTCCCCAGCAGGCTGGCCGCAAAGTCCAGGTCAGCAGCACTCAGTCCTGACACCACCTCCATGTCCTCAAAGTCTGGGCCCAGGTCTTCAGGGGGTGGTGGAGGAGATGGGGCCCGGCCAGGGGGAGCCAGCTCCCCTGAGGTAGGTGTGAGGGCTCTAACGACTGAGGTAGGAGGGGGCACCCTGAGCTGAGGAGAGGTTCTGAGAGGGGGAGAGGCCCGCCGTGATGGTGGCAGCCTGGAAGCCAGGGGGCTGGGACGACGGGAGCGTCTTGGGGGAGCTGGGAAGTCCGGGTCTCCCACCGTAGGGATGTGGTGGGTCAGAGAAGATGGGCTTCCTGTAGGGAGAAGGGTCAGGGTCAGCCAGGAGCTCCTGCCTCACCCTGCCCCACCCCTCTCCCAGACACTCCCAGGTACTCACCAGGGGAGGGCAGGGGTCCAAAGGAGACACCCCCCAAGGGCCTCCGGGATGGTGAGTAGTTGGGCACTTTGATTCGAGCCCCCGAGAAGGAGCGGGGGGCTGGAGGTGGGGCGCTGCTTGGATCCGGCCGAAGTGGGAGGTCCTGGTTCTCAACGGGTGAGTGGTGCTCAGGAGCTCTAGGGATAAGGGCACCTGTATCTGGTGGGGGGTCCACATGATCTGGGGGCTCTGAAGAGGCAAAAGAATGGCATCATGGGTGGCAGGGGCTCTTTGTGAAAGCCTCCCCTCACATACCCTTTGTTCTTCTGAACCAACCGCACCTTCTCTGCCTGGCACCTGAGCTGGGGACAAGGTGCATGGGTTCCCAGTCATCACCCAGGTCCCAAACCCCTCTGTGGCTTCTGCAAAACCTCCATACACACCTGGGTCCGAGTTCCTTTGTGACCCCTCCTCACCCATCCTTTGCCATCTCCCCACTTCCTGGCTGCCTACTGCTCTCTGATTCAGGCCCCACACAGGGCACTGCCCTCTCTCCAGCACGGCCAGTCCTACCTGCTCTGCACATCCCTGCCACATCAAATGCATCCACCCCGTCCTGGTGCTTGCGGCTCCCCATTAGCTGGCTCCACCCAATCTGTGCAAGCTGATCTCTTCTGCCTCCTCCCAACACTTCCTTGTTTCCAGCCAGGATGGCTGTACCCTCCTCCCCTCTCTACCCTGTGTCATGCTCCAACCCAGAACAAACACCTCACCCACAAGCGCAATCCAAATCTCCTCCTCCTCCCATTCGGCCCACGAGGACCTCTCCCTCTACCTATCTCCAAGCCCGTTCTTTGCTTTGTGCCATCCAGCGCTCAGCTACATCCCTCAGTGCTAGCACAGATGGGAAGCTGCCAGTTTGGGAAATGAGCAGATTTAGGTTTGAATCCTGGCTCTACCACTAGGTCACTGTGGAGAGCTACTGCCCTCTTTGAGCTGTACAGAGGAGCTTACACCTTTCTCAAAGGGCTGCGGGGAGCATCACATGAGCACGCAGCCCCAAGTCAGGTGGCCATAAATGCTCCCTGCATTTGTGCACAAGCAGGTAGCATGGCACTCTCTCCTGGGAGACGCTGAGCACAGCCCCCGCACACTCTGCGCAGCCATTAAGTCATCTCAAACTACCGCCATTACAGCAAGTGGCACAATGGCAAGCATCCTGGGGTTTCCTTAGGGCACAAGGAGAATAGGGTTGGTGGGTAACTGTTTGGGGAGGGCAGCACTCAGGGAAGAAAACGAAGGAGTTCCAAGGCTGTACCTGAGGAAGGGGCGGGGCTGTGCACAATGGTCTGGTTCTCCTCTGCCGCCTCCAGGTGAACCGGCTCTTCCCTCGGCCCCCATGGCCGATACTCCAGAATTCGACACCGATACCAGCAGCGCCGCCGAGCATCTACTGTGCTCCAGTACAGACGGGAGCACCTGACGGGTGGGCGTGTGGGACAAGAGGGTCAGGACAACTTAGGAAACAAGATCCAGTCCTGGAGACCTCCAGCCCCACCAATGTCCCTTGGGCTGCTCACTGGTAGCCAATGGGGAAGAGCCGTCCTTCGCAGTCTGAGAGGTCAGAGAGAGTGCCCAAGGAGTCGATTCGGATGGAGCCTATGGTGCAGAGGAGAGATCAGGAGGGTGGGCCCAGGCAGGGTCAGGAAGACCAGGGTAGAGAGCAAGCTGCTTACCAATGAGCACATTGATGGCATCAGGTTCAAGCCCCGTCAAGAACTTTCGCTTGAAGTTGATACCCTCAAAGTCCACATAGACTCGGCGGAGAACATCAAAACCGTCAGGGGTCACGATCTCCTGGGAGGGGGGTGGCAAATGGGGTTGCTGGATTGGTGGCAGGTGAGGGGTATGTGAGGGAAGGCTCTGGAGGCAGAGACTGGTCAGTCAGGGGCTTGACTAAAGGACTGGGGGCAGAGGGTAAGGGAACAAGGAAGAGACACTGAGAGGCAGCTGGGGCCAGGCCTGAGGGGCTACGGAGCTCCCTGAGTGGAAGAGGAAGAGAGTGCAGTGGGGAGCTGTCTCCCCCAGGGTGCGGGCCCACCTTGCCATCCAGCAGGTCTGTGTGTTTCTGGCAGAAAACTTTCTTGTCATCCTGGAAGATGCAGTAGCTGGCCCGGGCACACATGAAGTGGAAGTTGCTGAGGCAGGAGGAAAGGCAGCAGCCCACCGTGGCTCCAGGCTTCAGGCAGAGCTCACAGCGCTGTGGGGGGAAGGGGCTGCTAAAGGGGGAAGCCAGTGACCCGAGCCAGAGTCTGACACTCAGCATCGTTGTTCTTGAGACTCTGCTTGGGCCCCTGCCTAGCCCAGCACCTCACCAAGCAAAGGCACTCACCAAACATTACCTCTCCCCTAGCTGCATCCAGGGCCAGGTACACATCAAAACTGTTTCAGACTGTTTGATACAGAATTGCAATAGGAAGAAGAATAACAAGAGCTAAGGCTGAGAGTGGCATTTACCTTACCATCTTCCTCATGCTGTTCTAGCATGGAACCTGTATTATTTCATTTAATCTTCACATCTGCCCTCCGTAGTACGTCTCTCTATCATCTTTCTGAGGGTGAGCTGGAGACGTTCTACAGTACCTGACTCAGGTTCGAAACTGGTAAGGGGGATTCTAACTCAGGCTACATCTCACCTCATAGCGATGTAATAAGAGCTAAATGCCACACTGTATGGAAAGCATCCAGCACAGGTTTAATCAACAAGATTCAACAGACTAACTTTTAGTCTCCCAGGCTTCAGGCCCATATTATGGCCAGAGAGCACAAACAGGAAAAGAGCTGCTGTCACTGCAGCACCACAGTGCTGGGACAACCAAGAAAGGTACTAGGACCAGCAGCGGAAGGACAAGCTGTGGCAGAGACTAAACAAGAGCTGTCTCCGAGTGGAGGAGAGCCCCGAGGACTGCCCACCTCTCCAGGCCCGTGCCCTCACCATCTGCCTCCCTCGAGCCACAGCAGCGTGCACGTTCTTGAGGGAGCCGTCATTTTCTTCGAACACTTCGGCTGACCAGATGGCACAGTTGACGTGTGTCCACTCATTCTGCCCGATGTACAGAAGCCGCCCTGCCTCCTGGGGACAGAGGAGGGTGGCAGGAGGGGAGGACCCAGAGACCAGACCCCACAGCCTGGGCTTCATGCAGTAGCCCTCACCTTAGAGTCTGCATCCCCATATTTGAGGCACAGCGCACACTGACGGGGGTCCTCCAGGTGTGAGAAAGCAGCTGAATCCTTGCCTTGGAAAGCTGGAAGGGGTGTGGGAAGGAAGGTCCAAGAATGAGGACCTGGAGCCTGGCCCACCAACCAGGGGATCTGGCTTCCAGCCCCAATTTCCCAGTACCTGTTGAGGGATCCCCTGGAGGCTGCCCTGATTCTGGGGTCTCTGGTTCCTGCTGCCTCCACTGAGCGTAGACATGGTCCAGGGAAGGGGGCAACACGGCATTGGGGAGGACTCCGCTGTGGACAGGCAGGGTCAGCCTCTGACATGTCTCTTAACAGGGGGTGGGGGATGCACTGGGGCCCACCCACAGTATCAGCCTGAACATGCCATGACACCCTCTGTCCTCTCTCTACGTGGAATTTCTCTCAGTCTCCCAAACAAGCCAGGCCCTCTCATGCCACCTTTGGCCCACGAAACACTGTCCCTCATGCCCGGAATACTTTTCCTCCACTTCTCAGCTTGGATGTCATCTCTCCGGAAAGCCTCAGGCCCTAGGCTCCTAGGCAGGCGCCTCCTCTGGGCTTCCACAGCCCCTGGGTCTCCCCATCAGTGCCCTGACTGTCTGGGTCATCAGTGCCTGCCCAACCTCCCAAACATGGCTCGCCCACTGCTGTCCCCAACACTGCCTTGCATAAAGTAGAACCGAAGTACGAGTTAACTACACAATCTGAGTCTCTGCTCGTCTAGAACCACTGGGGACTCTCATGCTGGTTCCACCACCCTCCAGACCCTAACCCTGTTCCTCGTCTATTCTCAGTCCAGCTTGCCCCTGGATTCCTAGGTGCCCTTGCCTTTGCCCTCACTCCCTGGTTCCCCTCCTGCTACCCAGCCTCGCTCACTTGGGCAGCCGGGTACTCCGTCGCCAGTACTTGGGGTCGTGGGCGTCGAACCAGCCGAACGCAGACTCTAGCAGCTGGGGAGCAGGTTAACAGGATGAGAAGAACTGGCTTCCTCAGGAGAGCTGGCCGGGGCAGGGTCTAAAGGACCCACTCTCTCCTCCCCACTACCATACTAGCTACCCTCCAGGCATCCCCCAAAGAGCTCACCTTCAGTAGGAGCCCCTTCGTCTGGCCTCCAGCCCGGCGCTCCGGCGTCTCTCCTTCTTCCGAGTGCCTCATCAGGATGCCCACCACATCCTCCATGAAGCTGTGCTGTAAGGGGGTTTGTCAGGACTCGAGCCTCGACCCCAATCCTCTCCTCCTGGCACCCACCTGTTCCTCTCAGTGTCCCACTCACCACGGACTTGTAGTGGCCATCCTCAAAGCGCTGGCTCACAGCGTGCAGATCACAGGGCCCTGGGTGCAGTTGCTTTCCATCCTGCCCACACTGCAAAGAGGGGAAGTCAGCAGGGCTCGTGCTGGGCCTAGGCCCACCCCGTCCTGCCACCTGGGCCCCCAGACCTGGGTGCACAGCAGCAGTGGGCCTGCCACCTTGGAGCTCAGCAGGCCCTGGAGCACCTGGCGCAGGCCCCCCTGCAGGGCCCCACTCAGGGCCTCTCGCCAGCGGGGGTGCGTGGCCCCAGCACATGGCCCACAGGTGTACAGCACCGAGTCTGGCAGCCCCGAAAGGATCTCATAGTCTTCATCTAGAACAGCCAGGGCAGGAAAGGAAAAAATGGTTTAGGGAGATGTGAGGGCTTTCAGCAGCCCCCAGATCACCAAGAACATTCAGCCCTGTCCCCTGAGGGCCTGTGGTGAAGGGTAGAACAGGGATCCCCAAAGGACTGAGGCCACCCCCCAGGTAATCCACCCACTCACCTGAGAGCCCCTCACACTTCGCGTGCACCCAGTGGTCACACTGGGCGCACTGCATCATCTTGCTCTCGTAGTCGTTGTCTTCATAGCAGCGTGTGCAGATCGGGCAGTAGTTTCCTGGAGCGAGAGGGAAGAAGAGACAAGTCAGAGGGGCTGGTGCCACTGGCTGCCCCTCAGAGCCCCTGTCCAGAGGCCAGCCATCCCTTGACTGCTGCAGGAGCTGCCTCTATCATGCCCCACTTGGGTCCCTACCATTCCCCAAAAGCTAGCTGAGGATAAGGCTGTTTTTCTAACTCTGCAGCCCCAAGGCCTCACAAAGTAAAGAGCTTTGCTAAACATGCTGCCTGAGTAAATGAGGAAGCCCAGGTCTTCAAAGAGCTCAGTGGAGACTTGAGGTTCCAGGAGGCATCTCAGGGACCACCACAAGGGTGGGCTCCACGCCCTCCACTCCCATTGCCCTCAGTGGGAGAGTACTCTGAGTGGAAGGAAAGGCTCCATAGTTAGAAAAGAGTAGAAAGCCACTAGAGAAGAGTATCTGTTCCAACTGCTTGTCTAGGAACCTGGCCCACTCCCCGGTGGCCCCCGGGGCCCCGGTCCCCTGCCAGGTCCCCACCTTTCTCATAGAGCTGGGTGCACCTGGGGCAGAGGCTGTAATCTCCCGACCACTCGACGTCCCAGTTCTTGCCTGGAGTCGCCCCACAGCTCTTACAGCGCACGCAGGCTGAGCAGATCTGGGAGGGCAGGGCGACATTAGGGGGAAAGCCAGACACCGGGCTGGAGCAGTGCGAAGCGGGGATGGGCAAAGAGGAGGCAGGAGACAGATGAGGAAGGATGGGTAAGAGGAGAAAAAGTGTGCAGGAGAGGCGAAGAGGAGGAGGAAGGGAGAAGGAAAGAAGCAGGGCAGGAGAGAAATGAAGTGGGGAGATCGGTAGAGTGAGACGGAAGAGATTAGGCTAGAGCAGGAGGGGGCTGTGAGCTGGGGGCCGTGGAATGCATGAGCCCATAAAACCATTACATACAAATTCTGCACATAAATCTTGTCTACGTGAAATTCTTGAAGAGGACGTGTGATGTTTATCAAACTCTCAGAAGGACCTCCACCCTTCCCCGCCTCCTGAGAACCCTCGCCTAGAGCATGTCTGGGGGTGGTGTGCGGCATTAATCAGAACTCCAAAGTAAGGGGTGGGGGCCTCATCTCTCACCCAGTGGCGCCGTTTGCGTGTGGCCCGGGTTGGGTAGCTGGGCCCCAGGCAGGCTGGGTGGTAAGCATGGCGGCAGCGCTCGCACTCCAGGAGGTGCTGTTGGATGTTGAAGAAAGACAGCAATGGCAGAACCTACTGGCACAGGGATACCCCTTCTCTTTCATGCCTCCACTGCCATGGCCCTCGTGCCCGAACCTTGGATCCCCGGCCTTTGCGCCCGCAGACATGGCAGAACTTGCAGCGGCGGCAGCACCAAGCGTCATGATGTTGGGGCAGGGGCCGCTCGGCCTCCTCCAGGCAGAATGGGTGGAAAGGGTCACAGCAGACTTGGCAGAACACCAGCTGGGGTGGGGAGACGGAACGACAGGCAGAGTGTGAGGCCAGAAGGCCAGGGAACGTGACCCTGTGGAGAGGGCCCAAGAAACCAGACTTGGGGGGCTGTGAAAGAAGGCAGGGGTCCAACCTCATGCAGGCCTTTGCTGGCACACAGCAAGCACACCATCGGTGGTCCCCCTGGCACGGAGGTGAGTACGCTCAGGCCGCCCATCAGCCACACGTTCTCCAGATCACAATCCTCCTGAGGGAGGAGAAGACAAGGGGTCAGAGAGCAGCCAGGAACACAAGCCAGACCCAACCTTAAAGCCCTGGTTTCTCACTCATGATTAACAAGTTTCTTCCCACCGTAGTCCCCACCACCCTCCCCTGCTCCATGCCGTACCTTAAAATCCACACGAACCCGGTGCACGCCATCAGGGGACTTTTGTTTTCCAGTCCAGCCATTGGGAAAAGAGACAAAAGGGCCAGGAGCCAAAGTGTCCTAGGGAAGATGGTGGTGCTCAGAGTGCTGCCAGCCCCACCCTTTACCAACTTTTCTCCTCACCGCCCTCTCCTCCAGCCTTCCCAACCCTGCCTTTTGCCCAGATCCTACTTGGCCTTCCAGAAGGATAGGCCTGCTTCACCCCCTCAGGACCTGTCCTCTGGCGTGGACACACCACGGCACTCAGGTGAGCCTGTTACCCTGACTTGCCAGGAAGCTCCTTGGGATGGAGCCATGCCTTCCACAGGACTCGGGGTTCTTGGTGTGGGGTTATGCTGACCTTGTCCAGGCGCCTTCGGGCCTTGAGCTGCAACACAGGCTGCAGGGTGGGTTTGCGGGGCCGACTCTGCTCCTCTGGTTCTGGTACTGGCAGCTCTAGGCAGGACACATGAGCGGTGAGGTTTCCCCCTCCTCTCTGCCCCATTCCCCCTCCTCTACAACCCCCAATTGTTACCTGGATCCCCAGGGCCTTCTTTAACTAGACAAGGTCCACTAGGATGACTTGGGCCTTGTTCAGCAGGCTACTGAAAACCTCCTGCACCCGTCCTCCCTGTCCACTAAAACCACCCCCCTTCTCTACACTGAGACTGACAAAGCCCTGGGTCTGGGAGTCCTGACGCTTCCACACAAAAGACACAGGACTGACTGACAGAGGAAGCAACAAACAATTCGCACCATTCTCTCGGGGGGTCCGACGCCGAGGAGCAGGGGGACCCCCGGGCTCTGAGTCATCCGAGTCCTCGAAGATATCATAGGAGGGTCGCTGTTTGACGCAGCGCCGGGCTGACTTGCGCTGCAGTAGGAGGGAGTCCTGCTCCTCGGGCCCCGGGGGGGCCACCACCTCCTCCCGGGGCCCCCCAGCTCCCGCCCCCCCGGCGTGGGCCTGGAGGACCAGGGGAGGCCTCAGGAGATTCATCGGAATCCCAGGGCAACAGCGTCTTCACTATCGTCCGGCCTGTGGGAACAGGGGACTTAGTAGGATCTGAGCTCAGCCAGGGACATGGGACACTGGGATGGAGAAAAGCCAGAAAAAAGTGGGGCAGAAGCAAACAAGCACACGATGGAAAAGAAAAGAAAGGTGGTGGACTGCAAAGGTATGGGGAGGAGAGCAAAGAAGACATGGTTTCCTCCGTACCACGAATCTCAGTAAGATTGTGTAAAGAAATGCTCCTCAAACCTCGTTACCTTTTTTGGCCAGCCGTTCCATCTTGCGAGCCTCTATCTTGTCACACTTCCGGTATCTGGGGAGGGGAGCAGCACGTCACCAGGGTAGGGGACTGGTGGTCTGGGGGAAGAGAGGAAGCTCTCCACAAGGATGCCAATCCCACTGCTCTGCTGGGGCAGGAGGCCTGGGTAACTGACAACCATGGGTGGGAATGGAGGCTGCACCCCAGCTACTCACACACAGCACTGCTTCTTGGTGTTGGGGCCCCCAAACTTGGGCTTGTCCAGGCAGTTGACACAGGACCCACAGTCCTGCACACGCAGGCAGCCCCGACAGTGTCCACACCGTGCCATCCGCATCTTCTTGCCATGATGGGAGGGCAGTGAGCGCCGGGGTGCATGTGCCAGGGTCCCTCCAGACCCCGCAGGCTCTGAGTCTCCCCCAGGCCCTGTTGGCTCCACCTTTCCCCGCCGGGACCGAGATGGGACACTCTCAGTCTCAGATGCTGACGACGTATCTAGTGCAGTGGAGAGGCCGGGATGGAGCCACAAAGCCACCAGGAGTTCTACCTCATTTCCCTAACCTCCCCTAGATTCCATACAACTGGCCTTCTGGTCCCCACTTTCCCACAGTGCTCCCATTCCAGGTGCTCCCAAATCTGCTCTAAGACCTAGCACTCCAACCCACTTGCCACCTGGCCCCAAGCACCCGACTCAGCTGCCATTCTCCCAGGTTCCTGATGCCTTCACTTGCCCCCAAACTTGACACAGCTGTCAAATTTCCCAACATGCCCGCCCCTACCCTCCGTGGCGAGGTCCTGCCGATCCCGGAGAGGGAGAGCACTGAGGCGGGGGACGTCTTCGGGTACCATGGCCCGGGCCTGACCAAGGGCCACAGCAGCGTGACGGCAGACATGTTTGATGCGGGGGCCTTGCACAGGGGACTCGGGGCCCTGGGGGGAGGAGAAAGCAGGAACGTATGTGGAGCACTGCCCCTTGTGGCCCCGCAACCAGCCTTCTTCAGAGGGCCTTCTTCCCACTCCATACCGACGGTCTCTCTCTCTTAGTTTCCATCGATTCATCTTCAGACCTGACAGAACCTCTGTCTGGGATCTGCTTGACAGCCCCCACGACTTCCTCCATCTGCCCTCCAGGGCTTGACTGGTGGGGGAATAAACAGGGTCAGAGGCTAGAGAGCGAGAAAAAATGGGGCCAGGAGACTAGCACTGGGGAGGGATGGGGCCAGGGAAGGAACACAGGAAGCTGGGGGACAGGGGAAGGACTGGCTCTGAAGGTTCCCTGCAATGCTGGAGGGTGTCTAGGGAGGGAACGAGGTTCAGGGGTTGCAGAGAATTGAGGCTGGGTGCAGGGGCATGGCCCAAGTACCACGCTCACCGGCATCAAAGATGCCACCTTCTGCTGCTGCTGCTGGTCGATCTTGATTAGCTGCACCTTGGCTCTCTTGAGGAGGCTGAACATTTTCTCCTCCACACCAGACAGCGGTAAGGAACCCAGGCCTGCAGTCCGGGCCTTTTCCAGTGGTGGCGGCTGCTGCGGTGGCGGCGGCTGCAGCTGTAACTGCGGCTGTAGTTGTGACTGCTGTGGTGGTAGCGCTGGAGGCAGCAGCTGGGTGTGCAAGGCCTGTACGGGCTGCTGCAGCTGAGCCTCAGGCTGCTGCCCACTGCTTGGAGCTGGAGCCCCAGGAGGCGGCACCTCGGCCTTAACAGGAGTGGCGACCACAGGGGCAAATCGAGGCAAGCTGAGGTGGTTCGTGCGGCCCACTGCCCGCGGCTCAGGCTCAGCTGGAGAGTCATCGGCGGGAGGCGGCTCTGGCTCAGGGGCTTCAGGGGCCCCAAGAGGAGTAGTAAGCACCGATTCGTAGATCTTCAGGTGGGCTTCGCTTGGGGTAAACTGAGGGGCCCGAAGGAGCAGGGGCCTCCGGGACGGAGTGACGGGTGCAGGAAGCGGGGGTGGGGCCGGTGGAGGAGCAGGGGGAGGAGGGGGCAGTTCCCGGGTCAGTGAGGTCCAGCGAAATGTGGGTTCCCTTAGGATGGACCGTCTCTTCTCAGGGAGTGGGGCTGGGGTAGGTGGAGGAGTTGGGGCACGCGGTGGAGACGGGGCTGGCGCTGGTTCCTGTGGTGCGAGTGGGGAGGTGGCAACAGGAGGCCGTAGAGTAGGTGAGACCTCCACCTTTGAGGGTTTGGGCGGGTCTTCATCCATAAATCGCCGGGGCGTCTTGATGACACGGGAAGAGCGGGCACTCACCACGGGCATGATAAACTGCCGGATGTTCTTCAGAAAGGTGGTACTTTTGGGGGCCACAGTGGGGCTGTCTTCCAGAGGGCCTCCTGTGGTGGTGCTGGGGACTGGAGTGGGAGGAGAGGTGCCCTCTGGCCCTGCCCGAGCAGCTTCCCGCTCTGCCCGCTGGCTGGGAGTCAGGGGAGGCCGGCCCCTTTTCCTGGAGCATGTAGCTGGGACCACAGGAGGAGGGGATTCTGCCTGCTCCTCTGGGGCAGGAGGCGGTGGAGGGGATGGTGGGGGCGGAGGAGACACTGGGGGTGGTGGAGGGCAAAGTGGGGATGGAGGAGATGTTGAGCGGGGTGGGAGGGAAGGAGGAGGTGGAGGGGCTGGAGGAGTCAGGGGTGGTGACGGCAGCTTCGCCTCTTCCTTTTCCTCAGCCGGCACCATCTCTTCCTCGGCTACAGCTCGCTCTTCCTTCTCTTCCTCCTCCTCCTTGTCTTTCGCTTCTTTCTCCTCCTCTCCGTCCTCCTCCAGCTTCTGCTCCTTCCTCCAGCAGGGGCCCTCTCCCTGTCCAGACCCAACTCTTCCTTGAGTGGCATCCTGCCAGCTTTCTTCATGTTGATCTTGACCCTGACCTGATTCAAGTCCCAAGGACAATTGTCCCATCTTCACTTTTTTGGCCTTTGAAACAAACTTGATCACGAGGGGGAGCCCGCCTCGGCCTCGGCCCCTGCCTCCACGGCCTCCTCGCCCAGACTGTCCTCCACGCTTGGGGGTCCCAGGTCCTGGGCCGGGCCCCTCCTTGCACTTCCAGCTGCCAGTTCGGTGTTTTACTGGAACAACAGGAGGTGGGGGCTCAGGTTTGGGGATTGTCACAGCTGCTTCTGCCACCACTACTGCTTGTTGCTTCTTCCTGCAGGGGCCTGCTGACCGTCCTGGGGGCCGCCCCCGAGACCGACGGGGGGTGGAGGACTCACATGCCCGGCTCCGGGGGGCTGGGGGTGCCTGGGCCCGCCGGAGAAGTTCAGTCAGTGCCTGCACCATCCGTTCTGTGCCCTCCTCACCCCGTTTCCGGGCAGGAGTCTTTGGGGGGGTAGGAGCCACATCTGCTAGGCGAGGAGGCGGAAGGGGGGTCGTCTTATGCTTGCGGCCCCGACCTCGGGGGGCTCGACCTAAAAGGAGAATAGGTGTGGGGAGATGGGTCAAGGTAGCCCTGCAGACTGAGGGACTCCAGGAGGGCAGGGACTAAGTCTTGTCTGTTTCCCCGACAGCCCAGCCTAGCTTGAGCTTTGAACACAGAACACACTTGGTAACTGATGAAGACTCTAGTTGAACAGGGAAGAGCTGACACGAAAAGCAAGAATAACATTCTTGTAAAGCTATAGAGGTAGAGTTTCCCCATCACTCACCTCGCTGGGATCGGAGCGCAGAGCGCAGGGAACTGGGGGCCACATCTTCATCTGAATGAAAACCCTGAAACTCCTGATTTAGGGGACCAGGGGTGGAGGGGAGAAACAGCAGTCAGTGCCAAAGCCCTCGTTTCATGTGAGACTCAGGTTCCGAGGAATATCCCCAGCTTCCCCCTTAACGTATCCCTATTTACAAAAGAACTAAAAAGACTGGAAAGCAAGGGGAAAAGAAAAGACGGTCTCTTCCTAGGGATGGAGGCAGAGGGTATTTTGAACCTGCACCCCGTTCCAGACCACACCAGCACAGCCATCAGTGGTTCACTGGTTCAAAGGGAACAGAAGAGGGTCGCCTCAGATCAGGCAGTAGGCACTACCCTCAGATTCCCTCATTCTCCAACTGAGAAAAAAGTGGAACCTCTGCTTATACCCTCTCGGGCTGTAGTTTCTTCCTCAGTGAAAATGGGAATTGGGGCACCCAAGCAGGGTGTGTGTTTGTGTGTGTGCGTGTGTGTGTGTGTGTGTGTGTGTGTGTGTGTGTGTGTGTGTGTGTGTGTGTATCAAGCGGTTTATCATATTATAATCTGCCCCGAGTCCTGAAGTGGCTACAAACTGTCCTAAGTAATAAAACGCACACTTTCCTGCCTTTTCTGAGAGACTGGTGATAAATCCTGAATTGAACTCAGACCTGCTAGAGTGCCCAGTCTCATCCTGCATTCCATTTCTCTTCAACCTGTGCCCCCAAGAGGAAGACCTCCACCATTTTACCCTCTCTCCACTTTTAAGTCAGAAAAAGAATTGGGGCGCTGGTGAAATCAGGGATGTGCCGGAGGTTATGCGGCCGGGCGGGGCAGCCTGCAGGTAAGAGCCCAGAGAGCCCTAGCCTGGGTCCACTCGAGCCACGCTGCTGCTGTCAACCACCGGTTGGGCGTGCAGTCCCCACAGCCTCCTAGCCCAAACCTCTCCTGCCCTGGATTTGCCAACTACCAAGAAGGATCAGCCCAAGACACTTCAGCAGGACCTGCCTCGGGCCCAAGTGCCCAGCTGCAGCCCGGGCTTCTCTATCCACTTTCAGAGGCCTCTTCCTCCGACAGCTCCCGTGCAGCCTACCTCCTCCCATGCCTCTTTCCAGGGCCCTTTCCCTCCTCAGGAGGCCTTGAGGACCACGCTTCCCCACGCCACTCCTCGGGGCCACCCAGACCCCTGGAAGCCCCCCACCTCCGCCCCGCCCGGCGATGGGGACGCCTCCGACTGCCTCACCTCATCGTCGGACTCCCCGTCACTGCTCTCCTCCTCCAGCAGGCAGTCCCGGCTCGGGCCCCAGCCCCAGCCCCGGCCCCGGCCCCGGCCCCGACCCCGCTGAATGCGCGGGCCGGCCCACAGGCGGCGGAGCCGGCGCAGGCCCCGGCGGAGCCCCAGCAAACGGAGCAGGGCCGTGTCCTCCCCGGGCTCGGCTCCGCCCGGCCCCGCCGCGCCGCCGCCGCGCCGCAGAGCTACCCGCACTCTTTCGGCCCCGCTGCCCCGTCCGCCGCGGCCCCCGCCCCCGCCAGAGCCCCGCGGCCGGCCCGGGAAGCGGCCCCGCGCGGAGCCAGGCCCGGGGCAACTGCCGCCGCCCGCCGCTGCCGCCATCTTGGCACCGTGAGAGGGGCCGGGGAGGCGGGGGGAGGGGCGGCCCGTAAGCAGGGCCGGGGGGGAGGGGAGCAGAGGAGGGGCGGGGCGGCGGCGGCTCACGACAACCACCAGCGCCGCCGCGGGGTCGCCGGGAGCCGGGGGCTGGGCCGGCCGCGCGCGGGGCACCACGGGAGCGGGAGTCCGAGACCTGCCGGCCGTCACCCTTAGACCGCATCTGAAGAGCATAGACTCCCGCGTCGCGGCGGGAGAGGATGAGGCGCAGGGCCCTCTGGGAAATGTAGTTCGAGCGCCTCGCTCCTTCCTGGCGAGCTAGGGCCGCGAGAGCTGGGACCATGGGGTCCTGACCCGACCCAGAAAGCGATCTCCGGGGCCACCGGGAGTTGTGGTTCTTGACCCAGACTCCTCCCATTGTTCTTGTCGAGGCCAGCGGCCCGTGTGAACTACCACTCCCAGAGTGCGGTGGGCCTCGGACCCTGGGAACACCAGAGACACTGGAAAATGAAGTTCGGTACCGCAGGAGGCGTGGGCTGGGTAAGGGGCGGCGGCAAAAGATTAGTCTCAGTTCGGAGCTAAACCCGGCAGCCGTTTCGTACAGCCTGGAGGGAGGATGCTGGAGAGGCTGCGGCCTTTCGGCTCTTGTGCTAGGAAAGGAGGAGGGTGGCCGAAAGCAGGGCGGAGCACGCGTTCCTCTCGAGCCCCCGGCTGGAGGCCCAGACTCAGACTCCGCGCGCAGTTGCTTGCTGTGGAAGGGACGGGTAACTTGGGTTCTGACAGCCTCCCCACACAGGGCTTGCTGCTAAGTCGGCCTGGACGCCGAGTCCTCGCGGCCCTCTGCCTCTGGGGGAGGAGAGGGAGCCCCGGGAGACGGAGGAGGTGGCCGCCGCGATGAACCACCAGGGGCCGCTACAGGACTAGGGGCAAGGCTGTCCCCCGCCCGCAGGCTAAAGTCCGGACTCGGCTTTCTGGTCCCGAGAGGAGGGCACAGGAAACTCTTTATTTTGGTGATGAACCGCCAGTCCCCGCACAGTTAACCTTCACTCGTGCACACTTCACTGCCCTCACCCCACACGGGCTCGCTGGCCCAGGTTTCTGTGGCCCGCGGTCATCTGGGAGAGGGCTCTTGGCGCCCTTGCTGCGACGCTTCTTGGAGCAGAGTTTGCTAGGCGGCCGTAGCCGCGGTGCGAGGTCAGAAGCCTAGCAGGCCCGCCGGCCCATCTTTCATTCTGTACGCTTGGCTGAAGCCAAAGAAGCTACTGACACCCTGTCAGGTGGTTGAGGAAGGAGGCCTACAAGGAGAGGTCGAGGCCCGAGATGGCCTCGAGGAGGAGGAGGAGGAGTAGAGGAAGGTGGAGCGAATGGTCCATCCCGGCGGGAGCTGGCTGGGCGAGTGGCCGCGCATGTGCGTCTGCATGGAAGCCAGGCTGGGGCAGCCGGCCTGGCACAGAGGGCAGCGGTAGGGTGCGGCCCCATGCGTCCGCAGGTGCTTGGTCATGGCTGAGAAGTCCCGGGAGCGCTGGGGACAGAGGCTACAGGAGAAGGGCTTCTCTCCTAGGGCAGGTGGAGGGGAAGACCCATGAAGGAAAGAGGAAAGGAGCGAAGGCTGGCCTGGGGTAGATTGGGGCAATTGGGCAAGGTCGTTGTGGGGGAGCCAGACACTCAGAGAGGGACTTAGGAGCGGGCCCATTGGAGTTTGGAAGGAGGTAGACAATTCACACAGGGCAGGGTGCCCATACCTGTGTGGACACGGTAGTGCGTCTCCATCTGATGTTTGAGTGAAAACCTCTTTCCACAGACAGAACAAGAATAGGGCCGAGACCGAGCAGGAGGGGGTGGGGGAGGGTGTTGGTGAGATGGGTGGCTTGCTGTGCCCACATGACCCACACAGGTTGCAAGTTCACCTGTGGCGACAAAAGGCAAAGGAGGGCAGGGCTGGGAACCCCAGAGCCGGATCACTGGAACACTCAGGCAAGACATCAGGGGCTACAGTGGGGCTGAGGCAAAAGTGCCCTCACCCTACTCACCTGTGTGCCTCTGATCAGACTCTTCCATCTCCCCAGGGCTGAGCTGTGTGGGGCCCTGGGGGAGGGAACCTGAAGGGAGCAGAGTGAAGTAGGGGCTCTGCTCAGGCTGGACTCCTGGAGCCCCAGCCTCAGCCCCAGCTGAGAGAACATGTTACAGGGTGCATGCAGGGCAATGAGGGGCTTACCTGGGGTGGGGCTGCAGGAGGCCAACTGGTTCTGGCTCCAGAGGCCTTTGTGGAGGCTCAGGGACAGTGGGATCCTGGGAGTGGGATGGGGAAGAGTTACAGCTTCGGCTACACCTGGGATCCTGGCCAATTCCTTTCTGGAGAGGGAGGTGTCATGAGTCCTCAGGGGCTGGGCTTTGGGTTTCCCTGTGGTGGGAGCTTCTTGTCCTTTCCCCAGCTCAGGAAATGTATAGTAGAGATAAGAGATGTGGTGCCCTTCCACCCTTCACTGCTGCCTCTCCTAAGCCACTCCCTCCCAGCCGGAGGTCTTCCATAGGCCCTTCAACTCACCTCTGGTCCCGAGGCCAGACCTCCTGCTGGGCTGCAGTCATGGGGGTGCTATGGGAGAAGGGAGTGCCATATCTGGGCGGCAACAGCAGGATGCTCCACAGGGCAGGCTGGCCCTCCCCCAACCAAGGGGCCTCAGCCCACCAGGGCCTAGGGGTGATGCCGGTTTGGAGGGAACCTGGTGGGGGAAGGGGGCCAGGGAACTCCCGCAGACTTTCCTCAGAGCCCCCTGGACTGTCCCTCACCCACATGATCACTTCTTGCTTCCCATCTACTCCTCCGCGGCCAACAGGGGATTGGTTGAGTTTCTCCTCTGGTCTCATCTGCTCCCCTTGCTCCTCCAGAGTTGCCTCTGCCATCTCAGGGCTCTCTCTTGGTGGCCTGTGCCTGTGCAACGTCTCCTGTTCTTTCCCACCAGCTCTAACAAACTTCTGTGGTCTCTGCTTCTCTCCAAAGCCCCGCACTCCTCTCATAGAATCCCTTGTGGGTTTCTCTGGCTCCTCCTGTTGTTCCTTCAGCCCTGGACCCAGCTCTTCTCTGGCCGTATCTCTTCGAGCCCTCATGCATGCCTCTTCCAGGGACTGTACCCCTAACTCTCTGGCTGCCTCCTCAAGGGGCCCCAGTTCCCCAGGTTGCAGCTCTAGGCTCTCCCCATAAACAAAGTGCAGAAGTTGGGCAAAGGTGGAAGGGCTGATGCCTTTCACCAGAGCCCAGCGACCCCTGCGACCCAGTTGCTGGCTCACACCTGCCAGCACCAGGCTGTGGGCAGGGAACTCCTGGCTCCCCACTGTGATCAGGGTATCACATAGTGCTGGCCGGAGCCTGGCTGCTAGCCGTACCAGCCGATCAGAGCCATAGGGACTAGGCAGTCTTGTTGGGGACGTGGGCATTGTGCCTTGCCTGGGTACCAATCTCAGAGGTTCTGAGAGAAGGGCCACACTGTGGGGTCCATGGTGAAAAGGGGAGGCAGGAACAGCATATTCTCAAGCCTGTGGAGGTGAGGGGAGAAAGAGTGAATTGCTGGTTCTGAATCAGAGCTCTCTGTCCTGAATGGAACAGATAACCTGACCCGAGAGAGGACCTGAGCTTATCTAGAATCATAGCAGGGGCCGGGGTGGAGGTGGGGTGGTAGGAGAATGGAAATTAGACCAAATTCAGGACTTAAAGAGCAAGGACCAGACAGCTAAGAACTATCTCAAGTAGTGGATTTAAGGCTAGTATAGATGGGTCCTGCCAGTTGGCAATGTCTGACTTAAAGGATAGCAAACACTGATACTTCTGCTTCTCCAAGCTCCTCTGCAGGGAAAGACCTCGGAGTAGGTCAGGCTCTCCTCATTCCAGACAAGAAGATCACCACAAAACCCAGTCAGCCCTGGAAGTTAGGGATGGAGCAAGACACAGCTTCATGGGTGAGGTTAGAAAGCTAGTGTGTCCTCCTGCTGCAAGCCCATCATGTGGAGCTGAGGGTCCCGAGAGGAAGAAAGGGCAGCAAGACAGGGGTCGTAACTGCAGGAGGGCAGGCTCTAAGGCATCAATCAATCATCTCCCTGAGGACGAAACTTCTAGAACCCATCCTCAGAGAAGGAACTGGAAGAGACCAAAGGCTCCCATGCAGTGAGATAAGAGAGCAGGTCAGAAGCCACAGGAGAGAAGGCTCCTCATCTGAAGATGGAGAGACTTTGGAGAAGGCTTTGACCCTTGAGGAAGCCAGAGAAAGGGAAATGGGAACTATAGAGGGAGAGGCTATTTCCTCTCAAGATTAGGATAAGGAGACGGTTCAATTTTGTTTTTCATACGCCAAAAGTGAAGAACAGAAGGACAGAACCGAACAAGGCAGAAATTTATCACACATCAAAACCACCACATTGGCTTTTAAGAAAACTGGGAACCCAGATATAAAGAGACGCACCTAAGTGTTGCAGTGCCCAGCAGGCATATTCCTAGGTGTGGGCTCACCATGAGTACGGACCCCATAGGAGGGGGGATTACTAGTTGGACACTTCACGGAGAGGGCTACAGGCTGGCAGGAAGTGGACAGAAAGAGGGGTGTAGTGGGAGGAAAGTCTCAGCTGGGGAGAAGCAGCCACTCACCGGTTGTAGCTTCCTCCTGGACACCGCATGCTCTGAACTGCTGTTGGGGCTCCTGGGCACCCCCACCCTGGAGCTAGCCCCGCCCCTGACCTCACAGTCATCCATTGGGTGTCCCAAGTATCAGTCTGCCACAGTCCTCCAAGGGGTGTGGTTTTATACCCCTGGCTGTGCTTCACTCCTCCAGGAGAGACCACTCTCCCCTCCAGAGCCCTGGCATTCTGCCTCCTAACCTCCTGTCTCATTTCATTTGTGAACCCCTAGTCAAAGAAGTGTACCTAAAGCAATAAGAACTTTGGGATAATCAGACCTGCGTTTGAGTCTCATCTCTGCCATTTACTAGTTGAGTCACCTTGGGCAAGTCACCTCTCTGAGCCTCAGTTAACTCATCCATGAAATAGGGATAACCTCTGCTTACCTCATTTGGAGGTGGGGTGAAGATGAAATGACATGATGTATGTGAAAGTGGTTTCTCGGTACATAGCATCATTCAAATAGTATTAGTTCTGTTTCTTAGAGGTGTCAGTAGATCTCTAGCAGCTGGAAGCTCTTTCTACTACCTCAAAAGTAAAAAGGACTGAAACATCTGCATTCTAAGGAGAGAGTGAAGGAGGGCCAAAAGCATGCCTCCTCCTCCCTCTCTCTGACTTGGTACTAGGAAGCCTCAACTGCTCTGTGGGAATGACCCCTGTCATCTGGGACATCACTGGGGACTGGGTGTGTGAGTGACTCAGATCCTCCCATCAGGCTCTGATGGGGGCAACCCCAGGAAGGGCCTGTGGTGGTCTTCGAAGAGAAAAACTCCTTTTCTTGGGTTGATGACAAATGACATTTCTCTGAAATCAGGACTCCGAGGTTTCTTTGACTTCCTGCCCAGGGGGTGAAGTTCCTCAGAGATTTCCCCTCTTTTCACACTTTAGCACTCCTTAACCTGGGGAAAAGATGAGCTCTGAGAGACTCAAATTTCTTTCTCTGTTTCTTACTATTTCATTATTCCTCGTCCTGTGATAGAATTTTCATTCACAGAACAAGTGCTGCTAAATCGCTTATGATATGTGCCTAATAAATAACTGGAAGGTTAACGAGTCAGGCACTGGTGGGCTGCTCTGGTGACAAGACACAGTCTGGTTCCCCCTCGGCTTCTCTCTTAGATTCTGGTCCCCTCCTAGACTCAAATATTATGTCTCTAAAACTCCTGTTTCACCTTTTGGCTCCAGGACCCCCGAATGTTCAGACCATCCTTCTACTCTCTCTCCAGACCTAATATGCCTTCCCTCTATCTCTCATTCTAGCTTGGGTGCAAACGGATGTTAATCCCTCCTAGATCAGACAGGGTGTGCCAATGGGTGGGGCTAGTGGAGGGGCAATAATAGTGTGGGGAGAGGGGAAGATGAGTCAGAGTGAAAGGGAAAATGCAAATGGGCAAGCTGTATTCATTTGCTACTCTGGTCGTTAAATATTTTCCATTTCTGAGCTTTCTAACTCCTCACGCCACCACACCCAGGGACTCATTAGATACCCATATAAAAGACGCTTGATTTGGACAGAAATGCACCAATCCCTGACATGTAGGTACACAGAGGGAAACATCCTTCCTCCAATACAGAAATACACACTCCCTGAGGGTATGGGATAAGTGAGGAAAGCCATGAAGGAGAAACCCCAAGTGTAGGTATAGGGGTCTGGAAGATTACATTATCACCCAGTGGAGTAGAGTCCCCTCACCTCCCAGGCCTACATCATGTGCCCATGACTCGGCTCCCCTACCGGTGGTTGCCCACTGATGTTCAAAAGAGTTGGAGGCTGTGCTCAAAGGGCAGCATCCTCTTATGCAGTTGACAGGGAGTGCCAACGGGCTCTCAGGAAACCTAAAAGTGAGGGCAAGGGGCAAGGGGACTCTCCATTCAGTGAACAAAAGCCCCCAAGATTGGGAAACCCCATCTTTCCTCCCACTTGGTGTCTACCCCCTTCTAAGGATATCCCTTTAGAGACTGCCTCCTTAGAGGTATCTCTAGGGCCCTCTACACCGCAGCCCTTCTTCCTTCCTACATTCTTGACATTCTTGACTGCACAGTCCAAACCACCTTGCACTGAGCAGTGATAGCAGAAGCAGAAGCAAATAGCACTTTGACTTGGAAAGGTAGGGACACTGCTGACTCTTTCTCTCTCCCTCTCCCTCTCTCCCTCTCCCTCTCCCTCTCTCTCTCTCTCTC